TTACTATTATCACTGTAATGATAATAGTGTCACTACAACCAGTAAAAGCATAGTGCTTAGCACTGGCTAGCTACCACAATAAACACTAGCTAAATCCTCACAGAAGTGTTCTCATTCCTATTTAAAAAAAAAAAAAAAAACAGAAGGTAAGAAACTTGCCTTAAAATCACGGGAAACTTTTACTGATAAACTTTCATAACAATACTACTACAATTTATATCTTAATGACAACTTAAAAGCCACTAAGAACAAAATATGACTTTAACACTAAGGCAATCTTTGTGTCCATTAAATAAGTATGTATGCATTAAACTTTTTTAATTCTAAAAAATTCTGGGGCTGATGAGCTGGTTCAAAGTATATATGGGGAGGTTGCATGTTATTCAAATATTTGAGTAGCTTGCTTTGATACATACCTGTATCCCTTGCTTGATAAGTACTTGAGGGAGTCTTGAAATGTGTTGTTTTACTCACTGTTCCTACTCTACCAAAGTCTGCTAAATCCAGTAGAAAGCTGAATCACTGCAAGTTCAAGGCCAGCCTAGTACATACAGCAAGTTTCATGAGACACCATCTCAAAATTTAAAAAAGGCTACATGCCCCATGAACCATATATAGACTATATATAGAGAATCCTAAAATAGACAAAGCCAAAAGGACAAAACAAGTAGCCAGAGACAAGACTAACTACACAAAGGACCATAAGAAAATTGTTTGAAAGCCAGGTCGTGGTGGTGCACCTATTTTATCCCAGCCCTTAGGAGGCAGGTAGATCTCTGTGAATTCAAGGCAAACCTGGTCTACAGAGTTGTCTCGAAAGACGAAAGAGAAGAGAAGAGAAGAGAAGAGAAGAGAAGAGAAGAGAAGAGAAGAGAAGAGAAGAGAAGAGAAGAGATGAGAAGAGAAGCAAAGAAAAAGAAAAATTGTTTGAGATAATGAAACAACTATTCTTTCTTGATCATAATAGTTTTTACCCAATTATATGTCTAAACTCAAGACTTCTGTACATAAAGTATAGCTTTTGTTGTAGTTTTTTGTTTTTTAAGACAAGAGTTTCTCTGTATATCCTTGGCTGTCCTGGACTTGCTTTGTAAACCAGGCTGGCCTTCAACTCACAGACATCTGCCTGTCTCTTCCTCCTCTAGTGCAGGGACTAAAGGCGTGCACCACCACTAAGTATGTTGTAGTAAAGAAAAATTTTAAACCATAGATATGATAGAATCTTAATTATTTCTGATACCAGAAGCAGATGTTGGGGAGGAAAACAAAATAAGAACTTCCTTTTTTCCATTATATATTTTGCCTAGAAAGCTAAAGAATGTTTGTAAATCAATCACAAATTCCCTTAGGATTAAATATAAACATATTCTTAAAAGAAAATTACACAGACATTCAAATCTTAGTAATTTTAGAGGAAAATCAAGAATCCTCAGAACTCAGCAGGCAAAGGCGAGCAGATTTTGAGTTTGAGGCCAGCCTGGTCTACACAAATTCCAGGCCAGCCAGGGATACCAGTGAGACCATGTGTCTAAAAACTAAAATGAGTAAAATATTAATTTAATTTTTTCAGTCATGATAGTCATTAAATCATGAGGCTCCTCTCCAATTCTGATTCAAATAATTAAGGTTTTTTTCTGTTTAAAAAAACCTTCCAGAGGCCAAAGGGATGACTCAGGGGTTAAGAGACTTGCTGCTCTTGCAGAGGACCTAAGTTCAGTTCCCAGCACCCACATGGTGGTTCACAGAGATCCAATGTCTTCTTCTGGCCTCTGTGGGCACCAAGCACACACATGATGCACACATACACATGCAGGCAAACACTGATATACATAAAATAAATCTAAAACAAACTAAAGAAAATTTTAAAAGTTACTTAAGACCTTAATGTTTACCTAAAAATCCTCAAGTACTTTCATTCAATTATGCAACTAAAGCAAAATGGTTAAGAGCTCAGACTTAAGAACTCATCTATCTCAACTAATTACCCCATTTTTCCCTATTTCCTCCTCAGTAAAATTGCAATTGTACTACCTCTAAATGCACACATATGCATACTCACATACTCGAACAAAAGCACACATCTTGATGTCCCAGTTACAAGCAAGATTACAGTTCAGTCCTAGACAATCAAAAGTGTAAATAAATGTTAATTACTTAGATCAGTGCTTAGTATAAGTAAACCTTACTAGACATTATGCTAAAATAAATAATGTTAATAATTATCAGCTGTATGACCTTGAATCAATCATTTTACTGTACACTGCAATCCTGCTCTATAAGTAGGCACAAAAGAAGAAAGAGGGAGGGAGAGAGGAAAAAGAAAAGAGGGAGAGAGAGAGAGAGGAAAATATGAAGGCACAGCCAAGAAAAGAAATTGGCAGTCTTGAGATCCCCTAAAATTTGATTCTCAGGCCTGAGGATGTAAATCAGTAGAGTGCTTGCCTAACATGCCAAAACCCTTGGTTTAATCCCTAGCACCAAATAAATGTATGCTCTTTTGTTTGGCATCGCAGCCTAATGGAAGTGTTGTAGCCACAAAACAGCAAGCATGAATAGCAATAATAATAATTATAATAAAAGCCCTAAGTAAGGCCCTGCAATCTGAGCTACTCATGAGGATGAAGCAGAATTGCTTGAGCCCTGGAGTCTAGCCTAGAACATGCCTCCGATCCCAGGGAAGTGGAAGCAGAAAGATTAGAAGTTCAAAATCATTCTCTGCCACGTGGAGAAGAGCTCTGGTCAAGCCTGAGTTACATGAGACTCTATCTCAAGGATGGATGGATACCTCCCACCATTTAAGATAAGCTTTATCCTGAAATACAGGCATTTAAACATTTTTACGGTATAAAAATGAAGAAAGAGGAAAGTATTCTAGACTCAGTCTTGGAAGCAAGGTTAGAAAGGTGCTCAAGCACGCTGAGGAACTGGAGAGTAGTTTCAGGAGAAACAGTGAACTAATGAGTATCCCTATGGCTCTGTGCATCCTAGCATGGAGCTAAAGCATTGTCAATGGGCATTCACATTTAGCATTACTTTTAGGTTTAGAACTAAATCCTTTTAACCCTAAAATGGCCTTAAACATATAATACATTTAAACAAGAGAGGGCAAACGCTTTTAACTGAAGTATAGCAGCTCACATAAAAGTGCATGCAGCCAAAGCCGAGGGTGGTGTAAGAGGCCTTTAATCCCAGCACTCTTGGGAAGTAGAGTCAGGCAAATCCCATAGTTAAAGTCTAGCCTCCTGCTCCAGAACAGCCAGGGCTACACAGAGAAACCCAGTCTTGGAAAGAGGGAAGTACACACAAAAAAAGTATCACCCAGTGATTTTATAAACTCAACAAAACTGTAACATCAAAAACTGTTAACATCAAAAGTCCAGGACAGCCAAAGCTACTCAGAGAAACCTTGTCTCAAAAAACCGAACAAATAAATCCAGGTCATAACTCTGAATATTTCCACCACTCCTCTCCTTGTCCTCAAAGCCAGAGAAGTGATTATTCAACTCCTGGCCCCATCTTTCAATTGCCTGTTTGATTTGCTGCTGTTGTTGTTTGGTTTGGTTTTGGTTTTTAATTAATTTCCTTTATGTGTGTAAGTGTTTTACCTGTGTATATGTGTGAGTACCACATACATGCATGCCTGGTATCCATGAAGGTCAGAAGACAGCATCAGAGCCCCTGGAACTGGGTGACGGATGGTTGGGAAAATGAAGTGGGTGCTAGGAACTGAATCTGAGTCTTCTATAATAGCAACAAGTGTTCTAAACTGCTGAGCCAGTTTTCCAGACCTTGGTAGTTTAAACTTTCCAGTAATGTAGTCACACAAGTATATTTTTTCATACATGCTTTAAATTTTCTTCTTGTAAGCAAAATACATTCAAGTCAGAAGTAAGAAAAAAAATCCTATCAATGCTGTCAAAAATCAAATTCCTGCTGGTTGTGGTAGCACACACCTGCAGTCCTGGCACTCTGGGAGGCAGAGGCAGGGGGATCTCAATGAGTTCAAGACCAGTTTGGTCTACATAGTAAGTTCCAGGCCAGCCAAGGCTACACAGTTAGAACACCTAGGGAAGGTAGATTTAAATCATAAATCATTCTCAAAGAAAACTACTTTCAAACAATAAAATCTAAAATATCATTGTATTTAAATGTGAATACAAATGTCCCTGACTGATCATTTCAGTGGAACTTTCACTATGGGTTTCATGGAGTTCTTCCAGCTATTAAAGGCTTTCAAAATGCCCTGACGGAATTCAACACCAGTTTAGAGGTCCTATCAATGCTGTGAGGATCCGAATACCCCTGATTAGCAGAAGCTTTGCAGTGTGTAGGGGACTGTCTTCTACCACCGACTGCTACCTATGCAGTTACAGGACAAGGAGACCTGGAACTCCATCACCAGTAGAGCACTGATCAGGGCTATACTGGCTGCACTCAGTGGGCTGCTGACCAATGATGGGGAATATTCTGTTGACCCTCATGAAGGGTATCAGAGTATCACCTGACAGTTCTACAATGAACCCCCATTCCTGGAAGACCCCAGTCAGCTAATCCCTAAAGAAGGAGCACCAGTCCCGGGTTATTCCAGCTATCAGCAATACTTCTGAGCAAACTACTGCCTCCCCACCGTGTGGGCGCTCCTCCTCAGTTCCTTCCTAGATGATCTACCTCCAAGGAAAGACTGTTGCCTACATAGCCCTAAGACCCTCCAGAGACAGCCTCTACTCTACTCCTCTGTTCTTTGACAGGGGCTGGGTACCCCAGTGACCTTGTCACATGGGTCCCCCTTTTTTGTCTCTCCGCTTCAGAGTACCTCAGCTTCACACATGTAACAAAAGCTTACCTCAGCTCCTTCCTGCAGCACCCTAATAAGTATTTAAAGCCAGTTTATCTGTTTGTTTAACATAAATAGACCATAGGAGACAATCTCCACTCAGATTTCAAAGAAACTTTTTTTAATTCTTAGTTGGAAAAAATAATGACATTCAAGAGCTAGAAAGATGGCCCAGTGGTTAAGAGTCCTCGCTGTTCTTCCCGAGGACTTGGGGTAGGTTCCAGCACCCACATGGCAGTTGACAAGAGTCTGTAACTCCAATTGCAGGGATGAAACACCCTCTCCTGACCTCTAAAGACACCAAGTACACATGTGGTACATCAACATACATAGAGAAAACACTCACATTTTAAAAAAATAAATAAAATAAAAAATCTTTCACACCCACATATGGCAGAGTTCCTGTGAGGAGGTCGGAGGACAACATGCAAGAATCAGTTCTCTCTTTCCATAATGTGAGCTGCAGAGACTGAACTCTGCCCGTCAACCTTGATGGTAATCATCCTCACCCACTGAGCCATCTCACCAATTTATTTTTCATTTAATGTTGTGTGTATGACGTGTGAGTGCAGATCCAAGCATGCCATAGCATACATGTGAAGGTCAGAGGACAATTTTTAGGAGTCAGTTTTCTTTCCACCCTGTGTTCCAAGTATCAAACTCAAGCCATCAGACTTGCAGAGCAAGCACTTTTATCAGCTGAGCCATCTCACAAGCTCACTGTAGTGGGTCTCAACCTGTGGGTTGAGACCACAGAGGTCATATATCAGATATTTATGTAATGATTCATAACAGCAAAATTACAGTTATGAAGCAACAAAATAATTTTATGTTGGGGTCACCACAGCATAAGAAACTATATATATAAAGGGTCACAGCATTAGGAAGGTTGAGACTCACTGCTCTACAAGAAAATCTGTAAATAAACGAATGGTTCTATTTTATACTATAATCTCTTCCTACTGTTCATCTATGTAACCGCTATAATCAGCCAGGCAGTAGTGGTGCTGGTGCTGGTGCTGGTGGTAGTAATGCACACCTTTAATCCCAGCACTCAGGAGCCAGAGGCAGGTGGATCTCTGTGAGTTCAAGGCCAGCCTGGGTCTACAGAGGGTCCAGAACAGCCAGGGCTACACAGAGAAATCCTGTCTGGAAAAACAGAGGGTGGGGAAGAGAAGGAAAGAGTGGAAGAAAGGAGGGGGGGAAAGAGGGAGGGAGGGAGGGAGAGAGGTGGCAGCACACACCTGTTCACCCCAGCACTGAGGAGAGGTGGGAGAATCTCGATGAGTTTGAGGCCAATCTGGTCTATGCAGTAAGTTCCAGGACAGCAGGACCTTGTAGAGAGTCTGTATATCAAAGCAAAACAGTGCCCGCCATGCCTGCCATAAGCCATATATCATATGACTGTTTTAAAATTATTTAACTTGGTCTGGAGAGATGGTTCAGGGTTAAGAGCACATACTGATCTTCCTGAGGACCAGAATTTAACTCCTGACACCCACCTCAAGTGGCTCACAACAACCTACAACTTCAGTCTCAAGAGAGATGAAGTACTTCTGGCCTCCTCAGGTACCTAAATGTATTGTACACTAATTGTGCATACCCACACACAGATACATACATACATGTGATTAAAAATAAAATATGTATTTTAATTATTTAATTAAAGTTAGTTCTTTGGTTGAACTAGTCAAATTTTAAGTGCTCAGTAAGTTCTAGACACAGAGACATCATTTCCATCACCACAGGAAGTAGTACTGAACAGCACGCGTTTGAGCTATACTGTGTCACCATCTACTCACCCTTAGCCCCTCAGCCTACTCTGCTAAAACTAGTCAAAGAAATGATAACCAGTGGCTAGTTCACAGTCCAATGACTACATTTCTTAGGCTCTCATCTTTCTCAATCTCCCTCAAACTCCTTGGTTTTCCCTCATTTGTAAATCCCTCTTTGGCCTCCGCTGTACATCATTAATCTAACATTAAGTATTAGTTAGCCTCTAACTAACATTAAGTATTTTCTCTAGCCCCCTAAGTCTGTTCTTTTAAATTTCAAGATCTCATTCACACTAGGTCTACCTTCTTACCACTTCAAGTTCTCTATAACCAAGTTCCTGGAGGCAAATTTTTCTTGGATATATACCGGCCTCAATGTTAAATATATGAAGGGTTTCAATTCAGTCCTTTACCAAAACTCCCTTCCCCTTCCAATTAGCACAATTCTATTTATTCTTGCAGGCCCAAAGTCTATCAACTTTGAACAGCTGTCCCTTACTTACCATTCAACCGATCAGCAGATGTATATGTCCTATAAGGTGCTAACGAGCTAGCCATGTTCCACTGAATTATCACTCTGCCACAGCCTTATTTCAAAGCCAATTTCTGAGTATAATACAGGATCACTGTTTCCAATCTGACCACATCTCCAGGCGCATTACCACCCAACACCTCTTCCTTGACACTGCCCTTGGTTTCAAAAGCCTAAAAGGACTCAGTACAGACAGTAAAGAAAATTCCAATATCTTAATGATTCAAGTCTAACAATTTGTGGAATATACTTTACAAACTTATCTTTAACTCCACTACTTCTATTCTATGCTGGTAAAACTACAACTAGTTTTTTT